TCAGCAGGTGGTATGGTAGTTAAGGTGCTGGACTCCCACATGGCTGAGCACAGTTCAAGTCCTGGACCTGGAGGCTTAAAAATCACGCTGGAGGTGAGTGTACGCATGCCCAAAATCCTGAGAAGAGAATGGAGGAGAAGGGACTGTGGCATGGCTACCCCACAGAGGCTGATTTCTCACTTTTCCTATCTCTATCTCTGTTTCTCTCCCCCTGGTGAGCATATATGCATTATGGAGAAGAAAAAAATTTATTGCTCCTATTATGACACTAATTTCTTAAAAAATAATTATTTTATGTAATTTTAATAATATTATTTTTTAATTTGACCATAGAGATACAGAGAGAGAGAGGGAGGGAAAGTGAGACAGGAAGCTACCAGATCTAGTCTGTCATGTGGGAGTCTAATACCTTAACCACCATGCCACCTGCTGGTCCCAACACTAATGTCTTTTAATCTATAGAGACCACATGTAAATCATTAAGAATATTAACGCTTAAAGACAGAGAACAGAAAACTCACAGACAAAACTAAATGGTCAGTGAACAGAAGAAAATTATTTCATTCATCTCATAAATAGTAGCCAAGTATGTATCATGTTATAAGCCAGCTCTATATACTGGTGAGATAAGCAGTGAGCAAGGCAGTTAAAATCTTTTCTCTCATGCAGTTTACCTTCTAGTTAGTAAGGAGGATAGGGAAAAGCAAAATAAAAGGTTTGGAGACTGAGGAGGTTGGTTTGGTTATGTAGTTTCTCTTCAGGGCCAGCAGGTAGCATGGTGGTTAGTTAGAGTACTGGATTCCCACAAGGCCATCCAGGATTTGAGACCTAGACCCAGAGGCTTGAAAATTACAACAAACAAACAAATAAATAAATATAAAATAAAATAATAATAATAAATAAATATTAAAAAAAGTCTTTTCAAGAAGGTGACATAAAAACAATGAGCTCAAGCAAGCGAGGGGGCTAAATGTGAAAACCTGATAGCATTCCAGAAGAGAACTACCACAATGCAGCAGGAAAGCCTATAAAGTTCAGGGGGGAGGGGTGAAGAAGGTAGAAGATGAAATCAGTGGGCCCTCATGACACTGTAGCTCTTTTGCCTGTAATTCTCTATCCCTTCATGACTGGGCACGCTAGGGCATACATGGCATATTTTGAAGCCACTGGGGCAGGGACTCAGTTCTAGTCAGCTATGCAGGATTTAGCTTTCCTTGCACAGAGCACAACTGCTGTGCTACAGGATCAGCCCTCACTAACCTTCTGAAATATTCTTATATATGTACCATAACATTATAACCTTGTCTCTGTCTTCAAGTATGGGCATGTATTTACGTATGTCTCATCAAGGTTCCACTTTCTTAGGGTATGTACTCCCATCCCAGATTTACTGTGGCTCCTATGCTATCAATAGCCTCCTTTGAAATAAATGAACGAGTGACATGTGCAGAAGATTGTTCTGTGGCAGGAAGAAAAAATCAGGCTGTATATGATTAATACATAAAGGGGATAAAGATCTTCACGCACAGCTGTGGAAAGTCATTTCAAAGAGCCCACAATGAACTCTTCTGGATTTTATAACAACCTGGTGAAAAGTCGTAAAAATAGACTTGAAAGGAAGACAGCAGTAAGAAAGAAAGAATCTCCAAAATGGTCAGGGCTAAAAATGATATCCCAGTTTAGTGTGATGAAAATGTCTTTGCTCACAGAGAACTTACTCTGGGCTAGACTGAACTGTTTAGTCAAAAGATAAAAAATATGGAGAGATCTTTTCTGAACTGTTAACATGACTGAATTAAGAGAACATGTCTTAATTTATTATTTTTTTAAAAGTGGTTTTCCTATCTGAAAAGTTTTCAGATTTAAGTCAGATACAGAGTACTAGGGAAATCAAAGTACCTAAACTGTACTAAGCATGTTCTAAAATGTTATCTTTATTTTTCAGTGAATCTTTTGTAAGAAACCACATCTCCTGGCATGTCGACTGCTGTAAAAAGTATACATGGAGGGTCAGTAGTGGTGTGGTGGCTGGGGTGCTGGACTCCCACAGGGCCGACCATGGTTTGAGTCTTGGACCTGGTGGCTTGCTTTCTCTCTCTCTCTCTCTCTTTCTCTCTGTCTCTCTCTGTCTCTGGTGAGCGCACAAGTGGTAATACAATGCTGGAAGCCATATGGAAGATAAAGGTTTGGTTCCCATGTTGACCTGTATACACTAGGAGTGTGCATACATGTGTCCATAATCCTGGCTGGTAGAGACGGGGGGAGGGGGAATCATGGTGTGAGGCCCTTGTGAGGGTGTTGGTCTTTCTCTCATAAATAATAATAATAATAATAATAAAACTTAGGGAAAAAATTATAAACTAGTGAATTTTGAACTAAGGTCTCTTTTTTTCTTTTCAATTCACTAATAGCATGCAGTCTAAACCATTATCATCTTTAGTCTAGAACTCTGTAAAAGGGGGGGTGGTCTTGTTTTCTTTCTTTCTTTTTTTTTTTTTTTGGAGAGGTTTTTCACTATAGGGCACTTGCGCTCGCCAGACAGAGAGAGACATAGAGACAGAAAGCGAGAAATCACCTCCCAGGGGGGATGGTCACGCTGCAATCCCTTCTCCTCCATTCTCCTGTCGGGATCTTGGGCACGCACGCACACATGCCTGGCATGAGTTTTAAGCCACCGGGGCCGGGACGTGAACCACGGTCGACTACGTGGGAGTCCAGTGACATAGCCATTACACTAACTGCTGGTTCCCTCTTTCTTTCATTTTTTAAAGAGAGGTTTTATTTTTTTTTGCTGCCGAGTGTGTGTGCTCTCCAGAGAGACAGTGAGACGGAAAGCAAGAAATCACTCTGCGGGGCTGGCGGCACTGCAATCCCTTCTCCTTCATTAGTCTCTTGGGATTTTGGCCACTGATACACATGTGCCCAGTGTAGTGGGGTCTCATTTTCACCAATACTATTCTTCAATTTGTTCTCTTTGCAGTAAACAGAGTAATATATTAAAGTGTATACTAGATTATGACTCATCCCTGCTTGAAGACTCTGCTTTCAATTGTTAGAATAAAAGCCATACTATTGCCACGACAACAAAGCCCTACAGGTCAGTTCCTACAGTGAATCCAGCCTAGCCGCAAACTGAATTCTTTCTGACTATGCTATAGCCACACTGTGTCTCTGAATTCCAACACCACACAACATGTTCCTCCTCACCTCACAGCCCCTCTATCCACTTCTCCCTCATTTGCAGTGCTCTTTCCCAAGCTGCTTATGCTGGACTCCCTCACATCCTACAGGTCTCAAATACTACCACTCAAATGCCTTCGTGACCTAAACTCCTCTATTCCTCTTCTGCCTTCCAGTTAATTATTATATATTACCATATTTCTTCCCCTTGAAACATTTACCACACTGTCATAATACCCTTATCTGTTTAGCATGTCTTCTCCAAAACCAGACTTCTTGACAGATGCAATACTGCTTGTATTATTATTGTTGTATCTCTAGCTTAGCAGACTGACTGGCACCTGGTAGGCAATCAAATATTTACTGATAGAATGAATAAAGAAATATGGCAAGATACATTTCATAGTCCTAAATTTTATATAAAAATATTCAGTCTTTTTTTCTTTATAAAACAAAAAATCCTAAAACAAACAAAAATACTTAAGCCCACATAACATCAGTAACTCCCAGGAAGCATTCTGAAATTAAAAGTAAATTGAACACAAGGAAATTTTATCTGTATCTTTTCCTTGGAACTCCTCACACTAAGTTCAAAGGAGGCTTATTCCTAATTTAAATATACTGTTCCAAGAAACTAGCTACTCCAAACCATCAAACCATTTAACTTATTTAAATCCTACCCTGAGTTCTACAATTTAACCAAATTTCACATGCCAAATGAAGCACTTTGGCCAGAGAACAAGGAAACTATAATGCTCTGCATTTCTCCGTTATAAACTTAGTATTCTGAAACCAGAGGATAAGGCTAAAATCCACCATCTTTCAGAAATGACCACTCAGGTATGACAAAAAGCAGAATATGCTAAGTTTCCATTTCCCTTTCCAATTCCCAAGAACCTCACATTCCATAATAGAATTTATTCATCATAATCTCCTTTTCATCAATAAAATGTCAGTGCTAAAAGACTGTAACAACCAGGAAATAATTTTGAGTAATTTTGACTTTCCTGTAGAGAACTATTCTGGCCCATTAGTCACAAGGGACAAGAAGCAAGGAAACTTCATAAAATCCTTCTCTTTACAATGCTAGCTTGGAGCTGCTCCAGGAACAAGTCTTTTGGGGTTTGTGTGTGTGTGTGTGGTATAAAGATTGGGGGAAGACAAAACACCGAGCAAATGGCACGTGCTTACAAAGGGCAAGTCTCTATACTAACTTGCCCAAGTATGGCCTGAACCTTACTAACACATTTACACACCCCAAAAAGGAATGAAAAAGTTCAGGGAAGAATGAGTAGTGCATACTAACGGCATACTAATGAAAACAAGGCTCCCTGGATATAGAGAATTATATACCAGATAGTTTAGGGATTCAAAGACAAATGGTAATGAGAAAACCTGGGTTTTAGCTGTAAATAAGCAGGATAAGTGAAAAAGGAATAAAATGAAACATAAATGTTTTTATGTATTTGAGCAGAAGAAACTTTTACACTATGGTTCCATGCATAATTTTGTTTGTTTTTTTGTTTTGAGGTTTTTGCTATGGGTGTGTATACTTGCTGAAGAGAAACAGAGACAGAGACACAGAGAGAGAAAGTGAGATATCACCCCCCCCTAGAGGAGATGGTCACACTGCAATCCCTTCTCCTCTATTCTCTCCTTGGAATTCTGGGAACACATGCACAAGCATCTGGCATGATTTTCAAGCTGCCGGGTTTGGGACTCAAATTGTAGTTGGTCATGTGGGAGTCCAGTATCTTAAATACCATGTCACCTGCTGGCCCTCATGCATAAATTTTTAAGACTCGATATATATCACCACAAACATATGAAGAAATTTGTTACATACTTTTAATTCTTTTTTTTCTTGGAGAGTTTTTTTTGCTATAGGGCACGTGCCCTTACCAGAAAAGAGAGAGAGACAGAGAAATAAAAAGTGAGAAATCATCCCCCGGGGGGATGGCCATGTTGCAATCCCTTCTCCTCCATTCTTCTCTCAGGATCTTGGACACACATGCAAACACACCTGGCATGAGTTTAAGCCACTGGGTCCAGGACTCAAACCACAGTCGACTATATGGGAGTTCAGTGACATAGCCATTAAACTAACTGCTGGTCCCACATACTTTCAATTCTTTAGACCTTTTGCTGGGAGAGACACTGAAAGTGGATGTGTTATAAAGCAGCAGCAGGGGCCAGCAGGTAGCATGGTGGTTAAGGTGCTGGACTTCCATGTGGTTGATCATGGTTCAAGTAGTGGACCTGGCGGCTTGCTTTACACTTTCTCTCTGTCTGTCTCTAGTGAGCACGTGTGCCATGTAGCAAATTTATAAATAATAATAAATAAAATTAAATAAATAATTCTTTAAAAAAATTAAAAGCAGTAGAAACACAAAAGATGTTTGTTTTCTTCTATTTCCACTCAATTCTTGTATAGAATCAATCTGGCTGGCTCTAAAGGTAATTCCCAGAAAAAAATCCTTAGCAAGCTTAATTAATCATATTACCAAAAACCTCCTCCTCTAATGAAATTATTTCTTGTATGTAGAGTGGGCATGTTTTACCCTTCTGAATCTGACCAATGGTGGTACCCCACAGTACAGACCTGTGTACAGGCCACTAAGGCACTATACGAATTTCTAATTCACCCATGTCAACTTTTGCTTCAGATTCTAATTGAAAACTATTGGGTCATCGGTAAAGTCATTTTTTGCACAGAAAACCGTAGAAAAATATATCATGACTTTCCAATGACCTAATATAAATATGAGTTAGCTTACCGATTTTTTTAACTTCTTCAGCAAAGTATGGATCATTCAAGTCAACATCAGAGGGAAGTTCATCTTCACTGGCCTCTTCACCAAGAGCCTTAAAGTTGAAAATAAAAAGACATATATCTTATCATAAGGATTAATAATATATATATGTGTGAAGAAAAACTGTAAATATTTCTTTTATTTATTTAAAAATAATTTAATTTTATTAATATTATTTTTAAATTTTGACGAGAGAGAGAGGGAAAGTGAGAAAGCTGCCAGCAGGTCTGAGACTTGAGTTGTGGTCAGATATATAGGTGTCCAACGCCTTAACTATCAAGTCAGCTGCAGGTCCCAGTATTTCTTTTAAATCAAGAAGTTCAATCTAAAATTAAACTAGGTTTTCAAATGGACCAGTTTACAAAATAACTTACACTTAAGTCATTCTTGTGTTTGTTCAACAAATGATTTTGGAATACATAGTAAATGCAAGAGATTATGTAGAACTTTGGGAGAAAAAACTGTCATGTTTGTCCTTAAAAATGCCACAATCTATTAAAGGATATGATACACAAAGATATATGCGTAAGTAATTATAATTCAAGGTAGTGCTAGAAGAAACATAAGTAAAAGATGCATACATTTGAAGAATACTTTCAGATGGATGATCGGTAGACAGGTAACCTTATCTCTCACGAGACAAATGGTGTGGCTATCAATAGTATGAAGTACTGATTTGTGAGTTATCTCTTAAATATTATTTAAAGCAATTTATCTTCTGGTTAATTGAAAGAAATGATTTTTACTATGAAACTGTGAAACATACAAAACTAGTTAAGGACAGTGTGATGTCTCCCCTGTCTGCATTACCCAATTTCAACAATTATCTTGTTTTATCTGGAATCTACCCTTTAAAGTACTATGCTAAGTTTTAGGTAAATCAGTTGTTAAATTTTCCAAATTCAAACATAAACAGACTGTCTCCTAAATTAGTAATTTAAATTAAGAAGTCAATCCTACAAAATAAATAGAACACATGTAAACTAAGGTCAGACGAACAGGTTGATCTTAATTCCAGGAATCTATAAAACATAAGTCATTTCATCAAAAATGTTCAGGATACATTTCTGCAAACCATCATCCTGCTTGCAAGAAGACCCACTGTGTGCTAATGAAATAATATTCAAAATAGCAGTTCTAGCCAAAAGACAATATACATTTTTTTGGGACCAGCAGTTAGCATAATGGCTATGTCGCTGAACTCCCATGTAGCCAACTGTGGTTCAAGTCCCGGACCCAGTATCTTCTCCAATCATATTGGTTAAACTTGATATTAATTTCAGAAAAAACAACTCTCAAAAACAAGCAACTATGGAAACCAAGCAACCTACTTGGGAACCAGCAGTTAGCGTAATGGCTATGTCACTGGACTCCCACGTAGTCGACCGCGGTTCGTGTCCCGGACCCGGTGGCTTAAAAAACTCACGCCAGGCGCGTGTGCGTGCGTGCCCAAGATCCCAAGAGGAGAATGGAGGAGAAGGGATCGCGGCGTGACCATCCCCCCTGGGGGGTGATTTCTCGCTTTCTGTCTCTATGTCTCTCTCTGTCTGTCTGGCGAGCGCACGCGCCCTACAGTGAAAATCTCTCTCAAAAAAAAAAAAAAAAAAAGACAATATACATTTTTTGAACTGTTTTATAGCTATAAATGATGGTTACATCAAAACACTAAAATATCATGGCACATGAACACTTACTAATTTCTTTAGTAATAATTTCTCAGTATCAAAATTGAAGTTGCTGAGGCAAAAAGGATTTTTAAGTTGAAGAAAATTCTTGAAACCCTTTTGTATCCAGATAGCCTTTGGAGTTGAAAGGATCTGCTGGACTCATCAAATTCATTACAGAACACTGAGACTGAGAATACACTAGACACTCAACAAACATATTTTGAATATTGTTAATGAAGTGACTCCAGGCTTGGCCCAATGAAGGGAAAAAGTAAAATTACAAGATAAGCTAAAGGCTCCTAACAAACGAAAATCAAATGGGGAAAAAAAAAATAGCCTCAAAGTGATTACTTTTTTTTTTTGGAGAGATTTTTGCTATAGGGCGTGTGCGCTCGCCAGACAGACAGAGAGAGACATAGGGACAGAAAGCGAGAAATCACCCCCCAGGGGGGATGGTCACGCCGCAATCCCTTCTCCTTCACTCTCCTCTCGGGATCTTGGGCATGCATGCACACGTGCCCGGCGTGAGTTCTAATCCACCGGGTCCGGGACGTGAACCGTGGTCAACTACGTGGGAATCCAGTGACACAGCCCTTACGCTAACTGCTGGTTCCCAAAGTGATTACTTTTTTGACCCCATAAATATTCACTTGAAAAATCTTTCAAGAAATTGATAGCTTAATCATCTGGGGAGTTACTCCATTTAAAAGATGTTCCTACTTATGGGGCCAGTAGGTGGCATGGTGGTTAAAGGTGCTGGATTCCCACATGGTTGACCATGGTTTGAGTCCTGGACCTGGCAGCTTGTTTTCTCACTCTCTCTCTCTCTCGCTCCGTCCCTCTCTAATCAGTTTTAAATAAATAAATAAATAAATAAAGTTAAATAAAATAATTCTTTTAAAAAAAGAGATGTTCCTACTTAGTCCTAAGGAAGTTATAGGAAGCATAAGGAGCAAGATTCTTACCCTGTTTCTCCATTTTACTATTCATTTCCACAAACCCTGACTACAATGGTAATATAAGAATTAATCCATCGCATTTCTCAGCTTTGCGGCCCTCTATCTTCACAGCTGTAACAGAAGCACTTTAAGCTTAGAGAGTATATGAAGAAACAATATCTTCACAGCTGTACCAGAAATACTTTAAGCTTAGAGAGTATATGAAGAAACAATACAGTACAATAGAAAGAGCACTGTACAGAGAAATCATGGATTCTGGTCTTGGCTTGGCCGCTGGCAATGTGAACATCAAACACATTGCTTCAGTTTCTGCAACTATAAAACAAGAGAGCTAGACTAGAACTAATCACTTTAAGATTTCCCAAGTTGTAAATTTTTTTGATTGTTAGTGATGACATTGCAAGATAATGACACTGCACTTCAGTGATAAGACAGTATTTTAAGTGACAAAAACCCTAGGTGGTCAATGTTATTACAAAGGAATTGAACTATGGAAAACGGTTATTCCCTTGAATGATGAAAGTCAAATTATATTTTCTAATTGATAATGTATTAGCGTTCAGAAAACATTCTTGAAAAAGGGGTTTAATGACAATAAGATATTTAAAGAGTCATATGATAATACTGAAAGTGAGAAAATCAGTTGAGAAACAGAAATGTATACCATAACTTCATTACGTTAAAAACTTCTATATGCATACATCCTGAAGTAAAAGAAATCTGTATGAATCTCTCTTCCTCAAATAATATAGAGTAAAACGATACTGCTTTGTATCTAGATACCAACTAAACAATGCATTTTATTTTGGTAGCAAGTAAATATAAACTAGTGCCAAAGTGGCCCTAGGCTCTTACCACTCTGCATACACTATTATATGGCCAATAGAAAATACTTAACAAATTGAATTTTCATCTTCCTCATTCTTAATACTGGGTTAACAAGGCCTACTCCAGACAGTAGTTGCATGTTGAGATAATAGGTGTCAACTACCTGGTGACTTCTGATACATGGTTGGTATTCAATAAATATTTGATTGTATCTATTAGTGATACCTTCTGTTTCTTTTTCAGTCTTTTCTTCTCCTTCTTCTTCTCTAAAAATTGTTCCCAAGGCGTCAGTTTATCCTTTCCTTCCAATTTGTTTCTAACCATCTCTTCTGCACTTTCTTTAAGACCTGAGAAAATAATCCAAATAGTTTAGTTTAAAACACTGTACCTTCAATCACTGAAAAATGTAACTTCCCAAACCAAACAAATGTAATTTACATATATTTAATGGAGTAACAAGGTAACATGCAACAGTGAATACAGGCATACGTTATTTACTTCACTTCACAGATAACTGTGTTTTTTATAAACTGCACAACTGTGGCAATCCTGTATCAAGCAAGTCTATCGGTACCATTTTCCCAACCAGCATGAGCTCATTTCATTGTGTGTCACATTTTCGTCATCTTCACAATATTTCAATTATTATATCTGCTGTGATACCCTGTGATCAATGATCTTTGAGATGTTACTACTGTAATTGTTTTGAGGTGCTAAAAGATAATGCCCACATAAGATGGCAAGCTTAGTGGATAAATGTACTCTACCAACTAGCCATGGCTCTGTCGCTCTCCCTCTCCTGAAGTCTCCCTAATCCCTGAGACACAATACTGAAATCAGGACAATTAAGAACTCTGCAAATCTAACCAAAGAAGTTAAAGACCTCCACAAGGAAAACTACATGAAGCTAAAAAGAGAAATTGAAAATGACACAAAAAAGTGGAAGGATGTTCCATGTTCCTGGATTGGAAGAATATAATCAAAATGGCAATTCTACCCAAATTAATCTACATATTTAATGCAATGCCAATCAAAGTATCAGACACATTCTTCACAGATCTAGAAAAGACAACCATAAAATTTGCCTGTAATCATAAAAGACCTTGTACTGCCAAAGCAATCCTACAAAATAAGAGAGGAATGGGCAGCATCTCACTCCCAGACCCAAAAATATACTACAAAGCTGTGGTAATCAAAACAGCATGGTACTGGCACAGAAACAGGTGGACCAATGGAATAGAATAGAGTGCCCAGAAATAAACTCTCAAATATAGTCAACTGATTTTTTACATAGGGTATCAGTCAATCCAACAGGAAAAGGAAAACCTCTTCAGCAAATGGTGCTGGAAAAACTGGATATCCACTTTTAGAAAGATGAATCTGAACTCCTACCTCTCATCATTGACAAAAATCAAATCAAGGTGGATCAAAGATCTAAATCTAAGGGACCAGCAGTTGGCGTAATGACTATGTTGCTGAACTCCCATGTAGCTGACCGTGGTTCAAGTCCTGGACTCAGTGGCTTAAACTCACACTGGGCGCATGTTCGTGCATGCCCAGGATCCCGAGAGGAGAATGGAGGAGAACGGATTGCGGCGTGGTTATCACCCCTGGGGGTGATTTCTCGCTTTCTGTCTCTCTGTCTCTCTCTCTCTCTGTCTGGAGAGTGCACGCGCCCTATAGTGAAAACCTTTCCAAAAAAAAAAGTCTTATTACTTGAGGAATACATTTCGTTAAGGCATTGCTGGCATATACAGTGATTCCTCTGATTATTTGGCAAAGTAAACAGAAAATCTTCTGGAAAGGATTCACTATCCCAGAAGCCATTACTTTTGTGAATTATGAAACAAGGTTAAAAAAAATCAATAAGAGTTTGCACAAAGTTGATTCCAATTCTTTTAAAAAAAAAAAAAAACTTTATTTATTGTTATTTTCCAGTTTGATCAGAGAGAGAGAGAGAGGAAAAGCGAGACATCAACCTGCCAGGTCCAGGACTTGAACCATGGTTTAACCATGTGGGAGTCCAGTGCCTTTAACCACCACGCCACCTGCTGGCCCTGATTCCAATTCTTATTGATGACTTTGAGGAGTTTGAGACTTTGTGGAGAAATCAACTGCATACATGGTGGGAATAACAAAATAACTAGAATTAGAAGCAGGGCCTTAAGATGTGTCTAAATTGCTGCTACCTTGTGATCAAGTTTAACAGATGAGGAGTTGCTTTTTAGGGATGAGCAAAGAAAGCAGTTTCCTGAGAGGAAATCTGTTTCTGATGATGTTGTGAGCACTTGTCAAAATGACAATGAAAGATTTAGAATATTACATAAACTCAGATAAAGTGGCAGCAGGGTTGGAGAAGACTGGCTACAATTTTGAAAGCAGCACTATTATAGGTAAAATGCTATCTATCAAACAGTATCACGTGCTGTGGAGAAATCTGTGAAAGTTAAAGTCAATCAACGCAGCAAACTTCATTGTTGATTTATTTTAAGAAATTGCTGCAGCCACTCAACCTTCAGATACTACCACTCTAATCAGGCAGTAGCCATTAGCACTGAGACAAGACCCAACACCAGCAAAAAGCTTAGGACTCACTAGAGGTTCAGCTAGCATTTTTTAACAATAAAATTTTAAAACTAAGGTATGGACACTGCATTTTAAAGACATAATCCTACTGCACACTTAAAAGAGTACAGTATAATATAAACATAACTTTTATATGCATTGGAAAACTAAAAAAATCATGTAATTACTTTTATTGCAGTATTTGCTTTACTACAGTGGTCTGGAACCAAACACACAATATCTTCAAATGTGTCTATATTTATAATACTTCAAGAGCAGAGTGATATGGGATCAGCTTCTAAAAGCTATTTCCTAATAATAAATAACAATAATATAACCTAACTAAATAAAAATAAACTAATAGGTAAACCCAGTAATTTCACATATGGTTAAGCTACTTACATTAAAAAAAAATTCTGTCTTTTGGTTAAACATTCATTCCCCTTACATAGCTTTGAACCTCTAGGAAAAATTCTGGGAAAAAAATCTCAGGATATAATGGGCTACTAATTATTTCATAGCAAAAGACAAGTTATTTTTATCCCCTTAACATAATAATTCTTCCTGCTGCTGCCCAAGTGAAAGCCTGTGTTTCCTGGGAACTACAGGTAGCTGATAAAAATGGATTAGTAAGGCAATTCCCCAAAAATCATGTCGGGTATGTGTGCATGCATGACCAAGGTCCCAGGAGGAAAATGGAGAAGGGATTGTGGTGAGGCCATTCCCCCTGGGGGGTGATTTCTCACTTTCCCTCTTACTGTCTCTGTCTTTCTCTCTCCAGGGAGCACACATGCCCTAAGGCAAAAACCACTTAAAAAAAAAAAAAACTACCAAGTTCAGATTCCATTTCTTATTATTTAGCTTTTTTAAAAAAACAAATATTTTATTTAACTTTATTTATTTATTCATTCATGTATTTCAATTTGACCAGAGAGCAACAGAATGAAAGAGAGAAAAAGAAAGTGAAAAAGCAAGCCACCAGGTCCAGGACTTGAACCACGGTTGGCCACATGGGAATCCAGAGCCTTTAACTACCACACCACCTGCCGGCCCCTTGTTTAGTTCTTTTAATGCTGTTATTTGACTTGAAAAAAAAATTTTTTTTTAAAAGAAAAACACTGTTAATCCAGATCATTTCCCCAGATACATTTTAAATTCAAAGAAAGTGAAAATGATCCTACAGATGCTCTAATTTTCTTTCCTGATGATGACAACTATACAGAGACTGAAAATGTTTGGCACTATGCCTGAAAACACACTGGTAGAAGGCTGTACACCTGGAATTTCAACTCCTGGTCATCCTCTATACCACTACCAGATCCATTAAAAATCAGGTTTGACCTACAGAATAAAAAAAAGTACAGCCCAAGAATAAAATCTAAAGCTTTGGATCTTAGGTTCTCTATCTGCAAAATGAGACTGGTATAGATTAGAAATACCCAATCTCTCACATGTGCACCCATTTTCTACCTTAAATGAACTATTTTGTAGAAATACAAATAAATAAAACATAAGCAGTACTTTGAAGGCTTGAGCTCCAAAGGAAAGTCTCAAACAGCTGGAACAGTTGCTCTCTTAAGTCCCTTCCTTAGCTTTTAAGCCAAGATTTAATCTCCAAATTTCTATGATGTAGAAACAGTATTGAATTATGTGCACATTCAAGGTTATGAAGATTTGCTTTTTTATAACGTATTGCTGGTGGAATTTCTGATTTACTGAATGCCAAAGAAGAAACACCAACTCTTAATTTAAAAACTTTTCTTATGAGGAAAACATAATTCATTTTACTAAATGGTTTCAGGAGAAATGTGGACTACACAAAACCATGTCCATATCAATGAATCAAACAACAAATTCTGACAAAACAAGTTAATTTCAAATAAAAAAAAAATTGGGACTAGCAGATGGTCTGGAATTTCAGAAGGCTGGCTCCTACAAGTCCCACTGTGCTGTTTGAGTCCCAGACCTGGTGGCGGCTTGCTGCCCCCCAGCACCTGGCGAGTTTGTGTGCCCTACAAAGCAACAAAACAAAAAACCCAAAAAACTCCCAAAAGCTTTACACACTGGGTTGTCAGAAAAGTCTTGACCCATTTTTGCATAGAAAAAAAAATACATGACTTTTCTGATGACCCTTTATACCTGTGATTCGGCACATAGTCCTCTCAAATTTTAAATGCATATTAAATATGCTTAAATAATAATCTTCAAAGATATTCAACTATTATTTCCTAACACATTAAAAAAGATTTTATTACTTCAAAATATTAAATTAATTAATATAGATGAGTTTTTTTCCAAAAATAATTTTCTAGCCCAGTTGTGATGGAGACAGTCAGGCCCTACTGCACAACACTGGAGCCATATGGAAAAGCCTAGGGTTCGAATCTCACATCAACCTGAACGTGTGGGGTGCACTCAATGGATGAAAGGCTGGAGTAGGATCATGGTATGACAGGATACTATCGGGGATCCATTTCCCCTATCTCAAGATCCCGGCTGAATGGAAGGCTGGAGAAGGACTGTAGCATATCAAGAGCCTGTCAGAGGTCCATTCACCCCCCTCTTCTTGATGAAGTATTTTTATTTTCTGAAGAGGTTTTTGTTACAGGGTGTGTGTGCTTGCCAGAAAGACAGAGAGGGGCAGAGGGACAGAAAGCGAGCAATCCCTTCTCTTCCATTCTCCTTTCGAGATCTTGGACACACACACACATGTGCCCAGCGTGAGTTTAAGCCACCGGGTCGAGGACTCAAACCACAGTCAACTACATGGCAGTCCAGTGGT